TAAAACCATCAAATGACGCATTATTGCATGATTTTAACTTAACGTTAAAAGAATTTGAAACAGCTTTTTCGTCTTTTGACAAAAGCTTTCAACACTGTCGATCATTTTATTTTGTTAGAAATGTTGAAGCATTATGGAGTAATTAATAAGGTCTACTATTGGATTAAAAGTTATCTCTCTAACAAAAAAACAATATGTTCTAAATCGAAAATGAGGAATACTTAACATCATGTGTGGAGTCTGCAAGGATAGATATTTCGTCCTCTTTTTCTCTTAGTTTACATAAACGACTTAGTTTATGCATTAGTAAAGTTAAACCCAAGTATGTTTGCAGATGACAAAAACCTATTTTTTTTTAACAATAGTATCAAACAACTTAGTACAGGCATGAATTTTGAATTAAGTAAGATAAATGATTGGTTTATAACGAATAAACCCTCATTAAATGTTGAAAAAATAAAGTATACCTTGTTTCATGAAAAAATGCAAGAAGAAAATCTTTTCCTTAAATTACCAGTTCTATTTTCAAAAAGCAAGACTATATAAAGTTTTTATGAATACATTTTAACAATAATTTATCTTGGCTTCCTCATATTAAATATTTACAATCAAAAGTTAGTAAAACCATTGGTCTGATATACCGAGTTCGTCTATATGTAAATACAGTTTTTCTAAAGTTATTATACTTTTCTTTAATTCTTTGTTTTATTAATTGTGCTAATATAACATGGGTTAGTACACAACTAATTAAAACTTGAAAAAAAATACTTAGTTTGCAAAAACAAGTTTCTATAATTATTTTCGGAAAAAAAGAGGGGAGCATACTAAACCCTTAATGAGAAATATGAAAATGAAGGATGGAGTCGAAATATATTTTTATCAACACCTAATTTTTATGTAAAATTATAATAAAGTTAATTTAACTCTGGCTAATTTCATTTGTAGATTTGAGAAAAATGTATATAAAAAGTATTTCTTAAGAACAAATCAATTAAATTCCTTCAAACTGCTAAGGAAACTAAATAAATATACAAAATATTTAATAGAATATCGTGGACCTAAGTAATGGTATTCTTTTTAAAAAAATAGTGCAAATAGGGTAAAATCATTAAAATCATTTAAGTTCCAAGCAAAAAAACACGTTTTGAATTTTGCGGAATAAAAACAAAACCCTTTTGTAAATTTATTCAAATGGATTTTACTTATTATATTTAGTAGTTACTAATGATATATGTGTCTTTTAATGTAAAAATTTTTAATCTTTCTGTATATGCTTGTATGGGAAAAAGGTTATTACATCTGTTCAACAACATTCGTGGAGTAGTGAAACAACATACGCACATTTTTGTTCGAGATCATCCGCTTTTTTTCTTTACTGAATTAACATTTGCCCAACAACATCCGATATTTCATTGACGTTTAATAACATCTTTAGAAAGAAGTAACATCCGGGAGTTTTTCTCAATGTGCAACTACAGCCGCCTAAAATAATGCATTACTGAATAAAATAAATTTCCGGACGTATTTACATCAAAAAAAAATCAGATGAGTAAATATATCTAGTTAAAATAATGCATTTTTGAATTTGTTTTTTTTCCCGGATGTAGTTATATCCGAAAAAATTAGATTTGTAACTACATCTGATTAAATCAATGTGTTGTTAAAAAAAAAATTCAGGGATGTAATTACATATATAAACTACATATAGAATTATTATATTATATAAGTGCTGCTACATCGACTGACAATAGCCTGACTCGCAACGAAGTGTTGCTACATCGACTGAGGATTTGGTTTGGGCAAGAAGTCTATCAAAAAGTTAAATTAAAAAAAAATATATATTATGCCTAAAATAATGCATTTTGATAATTTTTTTTTGGCGGGTGTAGGTATATTCGAAAAAAAACTAGATGTGTAACTTCATCTGGTTAAAATAATATATTATTAAAAAATATTTTTTTTGGATGTAGTTACATCCGAGAAATCTACAGATGTAGTTGCACGGATGTTATTATAAATCAATGAAATTTCGGATGTTTTAGACAGATGTTTTTATACATCAATGAAATTTGGAATGTTGTTCAGATGTTGTTGCAAAAACAATGACATAGCAAAAGCGGATGTTGTTACCCTGACACGTTTGTATGTATTTCTAATTTTTGAATACTTAGCTTTAAAATATTATTATTGCAAAATATCATTGTAGTTGTAAAAATAATTTGCTTTTTGTTTAGTTTATTTTCAATTTTTTTATTATATTACTTTTATATTTTCAACTCTATCTGACAAAATTTTAATATATTAAGGGGCTTTTTGAAAAGATTGAGGTGATTTTGCATAACCCATATCTTCTTTGAGTCCTGGTCTGTTTTTAAAATATTTTATTTACTGATAGTTACCATGTAAAACTTATCATTAATTTATTTTAACAGCGAAATATAAAAGAAAATTTACATCAAAAGTACGAACAGTGACACCATCCATGCGTAACTTGAATTTTTTAATACTCTGATATTTTACAGTTGTTGATGGAATCAGTCACTCTGAGACCTACCACTGAGTTTGAGAAACCTGACTACTAGCCGGCCTCAGAACCATAAAACTGAGTTTGAGAGCTGTATTAAGAGATAATAGAATGAGTTGCTTGTCATAAAACAAAAGCACAAACAAAATTCATGCATTGAGTCAAGAAGATCTGGCATTTAACATCCTAAACTGGAAACAATGTATTATAAATTCAGCCTAATAGATGAAGAAGGAATGCCTAATAGACGAAGAAGGAATGTGAGGCTAATCAACAGATAGAACCTTGGGGCTTAATGATAAATTTTTTTTAATGTAAATTTTTTTTTTTAAGTTACGACTGTAATTTTATTGGCTAAAATTATAAAAAAAAAAAACAAAAAAAACAACCTGTTTACCCCTTAAGTCTTTACCTAGGAGGCCTTCTACAAGACAGTAGCCGGATGCATTTAACATCTGCCCAAGATAGTATTTTCATCGAGACATCATCTCTACCTTTTATTCAACCAAGATTCCCTAGGCAGGGGTTGTTTTAAGTCGGAGTTGGCTTCTCCTAGTCTTTGCCTAAAAAAGTGTATCCTGCCTGGCAGCATGATATAAAGAAGGTTGCTCTGGGTTACATGTTACCAGTAGCAGGAAAAAATAATCTGACCTGACTTTAACGCTTTCACTTCAGCTATAATTACAAACTTTCAATTAAGTCATCAATTTAGTTGATAGTTTATGTTAAACAAATGGTTTTGACACCTTTTTTTGTTTTTTTGTTATATTGCATATAAAATAAATATTTGTTTCAATATTGTATTGAATATTTTTTGTCTTTAACAGTTTTATACTTTCTTATACTTGAAATTGTTTGTGTATAAACAAAACAAGTTGACTTTAAAACTCAGAAAAAATCTGTGTGCATGCGTATGGGTTAGAAGGTAGGAATTCTATACAAGTGATGATAATCGTAAACTAATTTATAATGCTGTTGAATCAATTTACAGTGAAATAGGCGAAAGATTTTATGAATTAATAAAAGATATTTTTTTATTTTGTAATAGAAAAAAAAATCAACATAAAGAGTAAAACTATTACTGCAATACGATGAATATGGTGATAAACTGAGTAAACAGGATTTTTTTTGTATAGAAACAATACTTGGGAATATGATTTCTCTTCAGATGATGACGATGCCTAAATTTAATCAACGCGGCATTGCAAGAATTACAATGAAATGATAAAGTTCGTTAATTTAATTTGCGAAGAACATATTAAAATCAAGAAAAGAAAAAATATTCATTCATTGTATTACACAAAACCTTTTTATTCGAATATTAATCTGGAAACATTTCATGTAAAAGGTTTTGGTGTAGAAACACAACATTTTTGTAGAGAATCTTTACCAGTTACAATAAAGAGGATATATCACTCAGTCCTATGTAACTTTGCATGTGTGAAATAATTGTTTTTTTCAAAATTTTAATCGAAGCAATATTAAATTTTATATAAAGAATGTTTAATCAATTGAATTTGTCAATAAAGTAGATAATTTGTCGTTATTTGTTTCTTTTTTGAAAATTGTATAGAAACTCGACTTTGTTGCAGTGTATCTATATCATACCTTTATTAGAAATTGCTATAACAAAACCCTTATGAGATGAATTGACAAAATAACATCATAGGATTAAAGAAGACACAAAAATATTTTGGAAAAACTAAAAACATTTTTTCTCTTTTTTCAAAAACAGCGGATATTTGTGTTAGTGAAACAAGTAAATTAGTTTCCTAGTTTTTTAAGATTAGTGCTAGCCACATACTTAAATAAAAATTAAACTGATTCATAGCAAATTTAAACTTGATAACGACAAATATAGAAACACGACACAAGCATCACTTTTTATGCGCTATCTTCAAAAATTCTTCTATTTTCAATTTATTTTGATGCTAAGAATGTAATCTAAAAAATTTCTGAGCTATTGATGCAAAAACTATAACGTTATCGCCAACCGTTGTGAAATAGGAATCTTCCATAAAAATGTAGAGTTTCTATACAGAAATTCGTCTAATGATGATGATGATGATGATGATGATGATGATGATGATGATGATGATGATGATGATGATGATGATGATGATGATGATGATAATGATGACGATGATGATGACGATGATGACGATGATGATGACGATGATGATGATGATGATGATGATGATGATGATGATGATGATGATGATGATGATGATGATGATGATGATGATGATGATGATGATGATGATGATGATGATGATGATGATGATGATGATGATGATAGTTTTAATTATTATTATCAATTGTAAGAAAAATTAAAATTTGCTGCTTGTTCATTTACTTTCTTTTTTTAATCTTGTTTTATAACTTGATAAATTTTAATATAAATATATTTATATTAAGTTATAAGAATATTTGAGTTATTTTTTTATAATAGATAAAATTGATTTTTTTGTAATAGATGAAATCGAAAAAGCTTCAATTCAGGGTGAGAGGTAAATGCTTTGTCATATTTTGTTATTGTTATTTATCATGCATCTAGTTTTTAGTATTATAAGAAGAATTTTTTCTCATATATAGTTGATATAAAAATTTAAAAAATTAGGAATAGATATGAAAATTTAAACAATTAGGAATAGTTTTTTTTTCTTTAGCAAAATATAATAATGCATAGTATATGTAAAAAAAAGATAAATATATATCATATAACATGCAAATAGTATTTTACTAAAACTTTTTATATACTATTTCAAAATAATAAGCAGAAAAGGAAGTTTAATCAACAATCTTTTGATTGTTCTAATTACTTTTTGATTTTTTTTTCTGATTATTTGGTATATAATTCAAAAAAACTTGTTTTAAAGTTATTATTTTTGAATTGATTTTAGACTGCCATTCTCAAAAAATAAAAAACTTTGTTACATGCAGATATTTTAAACCTATTTGTTTGACATGTTTTGGTTTGTGATAAAGCTCAAAACCACCTTTTTTGGTCATAGGTCTTTTGAGTGAGCAGAAAAGTATTTAATCCTAATAATTTTGTTTTTGGTTTTGTTTATGTATAGTTGTTTGATAAAAAATAAAATATAAAAATTTATCAATCTTTATTTGTAATAATAAAATTTAAAAAGATTTTAATAATTTAAAGTGTTAAAGTATATAATAGTATAATACAATGAATACTTGCATTTTTGATGTGAATATTTAAATCAGCTGAAAAAGTTTGCTAATCATTAAAAAAATATATTTTAATAATAAGAATGACAACATTATTTGTAATGTATTTCATCTAACTTGATTTAGTTTTATAAACATTTTTTAAAATAGCTAGTTTATTTGAATTTCTTTTACAGTGAAGATCAAAATCGGTTAGGTATTATAGCTACAGAAAAGTACTTTCTTCCATTTGAACTTGCATGTCAATCAAAGACTCCAAGAATTGTATGCAGTGCTTTGGATTGTTTACAGGTATGATTTACAAAAATATTTTTTTATCTTAGTTTATAGTATACTCCTTTGTATGTCCTGTGTAACTTAGGACAGAATTTTAATTTTGACTTTTTATTTTTACTAATTAATAATATTTTATATCTGTATTTTATTACATATATTATATATATATTTTTTGAAACAAAACAGTAAAATATATTTTTAAAAGACAGTATGATAAGTTATGTTTATTTCATAATAGAATGCTCATTTCATAATGGAATTATGTTCATTTTGTAATACAATTATGTTTATTTCATAATAGAATCACATAATCTCATCTAGCTGGTATGAAATCTTGAGATTTTAACTTGAAAGTTATTCTCTATATAAAGTTAGTATCTTTGCAAGACGGGCTATTCTGGTTAAATACAATCAATATTTCTTACCAGGATCATGTCGTTTTTAAAAAATCAGATTAAAACTTATTTTCTAATTTAAAAATTTTTTGTTTAGAAAAAAACCACAAAATGTTTCTTTTTAATTTAAAAAATTTCTTTTTCTTATATTCAAGAATAATGAATATTTAATATTTAAAAATATTTTAAATGTGAAATAAAACAAGTCCCTAATATTATTCATATGTAACTTTTTTTGCGACTCTATTACACTATTGCTACACTATTATATAATTAATATGTTGTCGCACTATTATAATTTATTCTATTTATTATACTATTATAAGTTCATTTGATTATTTTATACAGTTTAAATATTCACATAGCAGTCTTTAATGGTTAAGCTAATGCAGCCCACACAACAAATATAAAATACATATTTTAAACTTACAAAAAATAGGATGTCTTGTAAATTTCTTCTGTAGTAAAATATTCAACTATTTAGTTTTTATGCTTTTGTGAATCTTTTCTTGATATTATAATATTTATTTTCAATAAAAGTGGTGAGTTTTATTTTTACTCTATTTTTTAAAACTACTATTATTACTTATTTTAATATTTTATTTACTTAGAAAATGATAGCCTATGGACACATAAAAGGTAATGTTCCTGAAAATGGGCAACCAGGAAAAATGCTTATTGATCAAATTATAGAAATAATTTGTGGATGTTTTAATGGAACATCAACCGACGAAGGAATTCAATTACAGATAATCAAAGTGTGTTTTTATTTAAAGTTCAATATTTTGTTTATCGTTTTTGTATTTGAAATAAGATGTTATAGGTTGATGATTTATAGGACGATGAAATAAAATGTTATATGTTTTAAGTTTTCTCATCTTCTGTACAATTTGAAGATATATATATATATTTTTTTTGATGTTCCAGATAGGACACTTTCACACACTGTGCAAACCTTAAACTTAAGTATGTTTATACCTATGCCAAATGAGCAAGCCTTGCAAAAAATTGGGGACAAGTCTGGGAACAAAAAAGTCCTAAAATGCTTCCCCCTTCTCTGCCCAAACGTGAGGGCACTTATGTTGTAAAATTTTCAGCTCTAGTATCTAAAACTAAATTAAAACTTATTAACAGATTTTAAATTTTGTAGAAAAATATTGTAAATTACAAAAGTTATGACCATGCAAATTTTCCGATCCCCTGAAATAAGGGGGGGTGTAAATTTGCATGGTCACAACTTTTGTAATTTACAATACTTTTCTACAAAAGCAAGCGTTTAATGGTTTTTTTTCTCAGGCCTTTGTTTAAATCCTGTGTGCATTAAGTATAGTTTATTTTTATTTGATCCGTAATTAAAACTAAAGGTAGTACAATATGGGGTAACTGGGAATTGAACTCCGGTCTCCCTCATTCTAGTTTACATTAACCCCTCGGCCAAGCACACTCTTGTCACTGTGGAATTTAGTTTTATTAAAATTGATATTTGTATATATATTTGAAGACGTTTTTTAAATTGGGAAGCTGTGGCGCAAACAAAGGGCTTTAGGGTCGTATAAAGTATCTACGATATCTCCTTTGCCTTCTTTTTTTTTCTATAAACTTTTTTGTTGAAATAAAAAAAAGTTGGGGAGCAAAAAATATGTACGTACTTTTTAAAGGGGGTGGAGACATAAAAGTACGCATGGTAACAGGGAGAGGGGGGGCAAATTTCAAAATTTTTGGCGTACATACTTTATGGAAAGTAAGTCAAGTTAAAAAAAAAAGTTTAAAAAAATTCTTTGGAAAAATAGAAACAAAAAAAACAAAAAACAATTAAATCATTCCATTGCAATGCGAAGATTTGTAATTTAAAGTAATTTAAAAGAATAATCTTTTAAAAGATTTTTAGAAAAACATGGATAATATAATTTCAAACATTTAAATTTATTATAAAAAATATGTACTTACATAATAAAATTTAAATTTAACATTTGTTTGTTAATTTACACAAAATGCGTTTATTTTAAACAATCACTATAATTAATTTTTTATTTTATTTGAAGCCTTTACATAAAACAAAAGCATTAGAAAAGATCAACGATCTTTAGGTCCAACCAAAAAATTTTGATATTTTTTGTATTTAGTATAATATAATTTTGTCTCTTTTTTCTATTAGCATTTCAAATTAAAAATATGTTTATTCCATTGATCAAAATATTTGATATTTTTACTCATTTATTATACTTTTGGTGCTAGTATAACTATTTTAACTTTTATTTTTTATAATGTTACATGGGTTTATTAGAAGTTGACTAAAATGTGTTCAATTTCTTTCTTTTTGTATATAGGCTCTTCTGACAGCAGTTACCTCTGTATCCTGCGAGGTTCATGAAGGAACATTGTTACAGTCTGTAAGAACGTGTTACAACATTTACCTTGCTAGTAAAAATCTAATCAATCAAACTACAGCTAAAGCTACTCTTACACAAATGATTAGTGTGATATTTCAACGGATGGAGTTACAGGGGGTAATTTAATTTGTATAAAAGTATGTTTATATATATATATATATATATATATATATATATATATATATATATATATATATATATATATATATATTTAAACAAAATAGAGTGCTCAATGTTCTTAAAAGAACATAACAATTAAAGATTACAATTACAAGAAAAATTTGAAATCATAACACATGCAAACCAAGAATGTTTATTAAACAAAAAGTCGGAATTAATTTCTAAATGCAGGCACGAAAATAAGTTTCTCCTAAAAAACTATAAAAATAAGTGAGCTTAAATAATAATTACATTAAATCCCCCCTTTTTTTAAAAAAATAAATATATTTATCAAAAAAAGCAGAAGTAATCAATTCTAAAGAATTCTTTTTATAATAGTGTCAGCATAATCAGCAAGACATCAGAAATCCTGATTTCTGATGTCTTGATGAAACACAGTCTAAAATGAAAAATGTTTGATAAGTCAAATTCTACTAATTTATTATTGCTCTGTTCTTTTAAGAACATTGAGCCCTCTTTTTTGTAGAATACATTAAAAATTATATATATATATATATATATATATATATATATATATATATATATATATATATATATATATATATATATATATATATATATATATATATATATATATATATATATATATATATATATATATATATATATATATATATATATATATATATATATAAATTTGCTTATTGAGTTTGTTAATTTCTAGGTTTACCCATTGTTTCAATTGAAGTAATGTTTCTTTTATAGTGGACTGGCCACCAACTTTTAACATCGTAAACTAGAGATGAACTCTCTACATTAACCACTAAAAACTTGTATTGATTACTACTTTTTAATATAATTATTTTAATTTGTTATACGCTGTACACTCTGTCATGCCTTCTTAACTCTTTTTTTATAATCGAAAAGTCACGGTCACAGGGCAAAAAGTTGTGTCCTCTGATTGGAAAAAATTGATTGAATCTTTTTAATCCACTTATTATCAGTAAGCGCCATAAAAAGGTTTGAAAAACAATGGTTTTTATTTTGCATCCCACAATTATCGACATAAAAGTTGAGTTCATCATACGTAAGGTAGACAGGTAGTGCAATAGAAAGGAGCAAGTTTCATTCAGAGACTTTCTAGCCTTTCTATCATGAATAGAAAGTACACTAACCGTTAACTGCCTTAGGTAAATTATTTCTTGCACATGTGTTTTGGACAGTAAAATATTTTGCATTAAATCTACTGCTAGGGACAAAACATTTACATTTTTTCTTCCCTAGCGTCCTGCTCATCTTGTTTTATGGCTTGGTAAAATTTTTTATGCGTCTGTTATGTACTGTTAACTCAATTACTGGTTTCTTATCTTTTTTTTATAATTTTTATGATCAGACTCACTAGCACTATCATCCATTTAAAAAAGCAGTTGATAACTTAAATCATTATTAAAATGATCAAACGTAATAAATCAACTTTATTCACCACGCTGTTGCACAATCAAAACAACAAAATAAGTTTACGTTTGGTCCGCTGTCTTTAGCGCAAAGTTTCTTGTTTTTTGTTAAAAGGGCTGAAGTCCGGACTTCAGCCCTTTTAACAAAAAACCAAAACTTTTAGACACTGTACAGGCTAGAGAAAATTTTTGACTTACACCTTTTTAAAACAAAATAATGGAGCTATCTTTTGAATATACAAATACAAAGTCAATTTTTCAAAATATGTGACTTCTGCCATTTTAACATTTATCGATTCATATATATATATATATATATATATATATATATATATATATATATATATATATATATATATATATATATAGTTTACTTATATATATATATATATATAGTTTACTTATATATATATATATATATATATATATATATATATATATATAGTTTACTTATATATATATATATATATAGTTTACTTATATATATATATATATATATATATATTATATATATATATATATATATATATATATATAGTTTACTTAACGCATACATTTATACATAAATCCATGTGCATTTATTTTTTTATGTTTGTATATACTTTATGCATTATCATTATACAATATTGAAATAAAGAGCTAATGGCTATAAAATTATTGTAAAAAGAAAATGTTTACTATAAATATTGAATGATCCGAATATTTTATTTATTTTGCTGCTAATCATCAGTTAATGATTTGCATCTATTAAAAGATAATATTTTTCAACTGCAATTCGAACAATACAAAAATTGTGTCTTCACACTAGCAAAGACACAATACAAAAATTGTCTTCAAACTTGCAAATGGCAATGACTTGGTCATGGCTGCTTGCAAGTTTTTAAATATTATTCATCGCGGAAAAAGCTTGCAATTTGTTTGTAAAATATATTTGTGTAATTTTAATGTAACAACAAGGGTTGAATTATAGTTAATTAGTTGGAAAAATATCTGATCCTCAAAATTTTAGTTTATGCAAAACAGTGTTGTTTGTTTTCAAGGGGCAAATCAGCTTAAATTTGTTAACGAAAAATTTAAAAAATAAAACAAACTTAATACTACAAAAGTAATAACACTCTTGTAACTAACTGCATTATAAAAGTAATAACACTATAATAGTGTTATTACTTTTATAAAAGTAATAACACTATAATAGTGTTATTACTTTTATAATGCACTTATAACTTTTAAAATTCATTCTTTGTTCAAACAACATAAGCAGTCCCAAATTTAAATTGAAGTAGAAAAGCATCTAGAAAAATAGTGTTGGATAAACTTAAGTAACTGATAAAAATGTAACAAACAACTTTATAAAAACATAATGTTTAAAAAGTTTAGCATTATGAAAAACGTTAGTAATGGTCCATAAAAATGCTCATTAGTTTTAAATTCAACAAATAAAAATTTTTTATTAGTTGATTTTAAAATTAATGCATGTTTTTACAGACTGTTTGTAACATTTTCATTAATGCTAAACTTTTTATAAAGTAGGTTTTTATAAAGTTGTTTAAGTGATTTGTAAAAGTTCCTGAAGTTTTTAATAATATTTGAATATCCGCTTTATTTTTTCTAGATGTTTTTCTACTTTAATTAATATTTGAAATTACTGATGTTGTTTGAACAAAGAATGAACTTAAAAGTGCTTTATAAAAGTAATAACACTATTATAGTTTTATTATTTTTATAATGCAGTTAGTAACTAGAGTGTTATTATTTTTGTAGTTGTAAGTTTATTGTTTTGTTTTGTTTTTTATTACTTTCTCGCTAACAAACTTATAATAATTTGTTCCTTGAAAACAAAGTAAACAGCTTTGCATAAACTAAAATTTTGAAGACCAGATATTGTTCCAGAGTTTACAAATCGCAACCGTTTAATTTTCAACCCTTGATATATACTCATTACATGAAAATTGTACAAATATATTTTACCAACAGATGAAAAAATTTGCTTTCCTCTTTAAAAAAAACAAACAAATAAATTATAGGAGAATCATTCTTTTTAATGTTTTAAAAGGATGATTTTCCTTTTAAACTTATTATTTTTTTTTTGCTTTGACTTACCGAATTTTGTTGCCGAAAATAATAACCACTGTAAAGAAACAAAAATGAAAACAGTAAGTTATTTAAATTATTAATTAGTTTATTTTAATTTCCTATTTTTTTATTTTGCTTTCTTTATTTTTAAAACTTTTTTCAGCAACGTGTATAATAACTTGCAAACGGCCGTAGCCAAGTTGTCTAAATTGAAATACTCATGCATAGACATTCAAGACAAAAAGCTACAATTCTTTTTCTGGGAAAGTTTGTGTGTGATTCATAAAATAATTTATAAATCACAATAAATCAATATCAAAGTCAAAATATAAAAAATGGTGGATTACACAGAACACCAAATAGTTTCAAAAGCAAAAATTTTAAATTATGAGCAACAATTATATTTGTTTCACTTATTCTTATTATAAAGGAAAAGATTTAAAAAAATATAAAATGTCTATTAAACAGTGGCAAGTTTTTTTTCTTATTTATGGCACAATATTGCCAATTAAAAATACTTGTTCACTAGTAACCAGTTTTACAGTTTTATTCGTTGGCTTAAAGAAAAGAAAAAAAAAAAAAAAATTAGATTTCAGTCTTTAGTCTTCTGCAGGTTTTTCAAGAAACTTATTGGTTTTTTCATGGCTTCTTTTAAAAAAGATGCTCTTTAGTGATGAGTAGTTTATTTGATTTCCTTTTCATCTGAATCAGTGTTGACATTAGAATTTTGAAATATTCTAGATAAATAATTTAATAATTATTTAATAGATAGTTAAATAATTTTGGTTTTTAAAGCTAAAAGGAGTCCACTAGATTTCTTTGTTAAATTAGAAATGTTTTGAGGATTTTGCAAATGCAGTAATTTTAAGAGTTGATAATTCTACTTGTCTTTTTTTTTGAATTTGTTTTTCTAAAGCCTTTAATAATTTCAAACTTATTTCGCAGTTTAAATTTTCAGCTCATTTAACAGAAATTCAAATATACCTTTACTTGTTAACAAATTGGCACCTCATCACTCTGTCTTTTTAATTCTGTTTGAATTGGTTCCAAGACTTTATAAAGTTCAAAAAGTTTAAGGTTTTGAGCTTTTATTCTACATATAAGATGAACTAATATCATTTAATGCTAAAACCAAACGTTCTTTTGCTGCTAGAACTCTACTAATCATTTCCCCTGTACTATTCCACCTTTGTAGTCAAGAATTAAATTTCATTTTTTTCATTTTTTTTAATTTGATATAATTATGAAGAAAGAACTTATTTGAAGTTGTATAATTTCAAAAAAACTTACAAGTTTTTCTGATTTAAGAAGCTCATTGTTTGTAGTTTTCAGACAAAATAAAAGTAGGATATTCTTTGTTTCAAACATAATAATAATATTTATCTTCATCTTCCGATTCTTTACTTAAAACATTTACTTCGACTCCAGCTTCAATCATTTTTCTATGTTTTTTTAATACATCAATAACTG